TGGCTCGTCTTTCAGGTTAGCTATTAGCCATTTCACCCTGTGGGGGTACTTGCTCCACTTCAACCTTCTGCTTTTTAGCACCTAGACCATTCCCCTCTGCTAAGCCTCCTGCTGTCTTAATGGCCTCTAATCACTCCCTGCTCCCTGGCCCAAGCTATGTCCTGACACCAGAGCTTTTGGGTGGTGCAGGGGGGCTGGGGCCACCTGGATGCCTTGTGGCAATTTTTGCTAATTTGAGAGAGCCGAGGGCCCTTTTGGTCCCTCTTTCCTCTTCTATGCGCAGGGGCTCCTGTGCAAAATTTTTGGCTTTGCTTTTGTTGCTGGTGTTTGCTGTTTTCTTTTCTGTTGATGTTCATCAGGTGCAGGGCTGGGGTTTTCACGGTTCACATTGTTTATTTCCTTCTAATCTGCACCAATCTTATATTTCACAGTTTGCACTTTTTGTATTTCAATAAAAGTCAAAATGTAATCCCAGATACAGGTGTGTCTGTCACGTGGCAGCAGCTGTGGCACATCTACAAGAAAGAAGTAAGGCTGGCTATGCTGCCAACCACAACCGTGCGGAGAGGGAGGAAAGTGAGTATGAAATGCTTCCTATGTGAGTTAACTCTGGGAAGAAACACTAGTTTGCAGGAGCCTCGGGCTGGAAACAGAATTAAACCAAAAATGAAGTACCGCAAGTTTGGCTCTTTCCTGAACAGGGCTGGGCTTCCATGTTACCATCTCCCTGTCACGATGAGCAATCCACCTAGGATTGCCCTTTCCCAGAGGTGGACCCAGGCAGCTGCACAGGTTGTGGTATCACCAGGTGCCAAGTGGGAGCCACCTGCAAGCTCCCCAGTTAGGATTAGCTGGCTAAGTTTATACTGTGGCCAGGTGACACATGCAGCAGAGGCCTGCATGTTCTCATCTCAACTTACATGGATCACTAACTCCTCGATGTGTGAGAAGAGGACAGAGCACTGGAGCTAAAAGCATCACCATTTGGCAGTAGCTTCAGCCCTGGCTACTGGCCTTGTCATCTGGATGATGTGTTAATGCTGATTTTAACACCTGCATCTCTAAAACTGTGCTGCTTTTCAGTTTTTATTACTGATAAGCCATCCAGCTAAGGGCTTCCCAGTGTTGCCAATTCTCCTTCCACGTGTTGATGTTATTCAGCGTGACTTGTGACAAGCTGTCAGCCATATACCAGAAGGCAGAGGTATTTCTGGCATCTGTTCACAGGTAATACTTTGCATATGGTCCTTGTACTCTGATTTATTAATTTATTTGCCTGCTGTAACTTACTGGACAGTACTCCAGTTCTAGAGTTGAGGGGTTTACTAATTATTTCTCTGGGGCTTTTTCATGTGGATGGTGCTTTTGGCTACAGTCTATGATTTCCCACGCCTTGGACTGTGTTAGCCCCCTGTCCTGGGGCCAGTGTGGTTCACAGCTGACTATACAGCAGTATCTCACACCTCCTGTGAGTGCAGCAGTTGGTCCCATTCGGGGCTTGGTCACAGTGACCTGCTGCTGTCGAGGCTCTGCTGTGGCAACATCTACTCTGGCCTCGGAGGAGCTCGGGAGCAGGTGGATCCATCCCTGACAGGGGTTGTAGTTGGCAGAATGTAAGCCATGTGCAGCCACATGGACAGTACTTAACACAGCATAAACACCATTGCAGCTGGATGTGTTTTCATGTGTAGCTGCCCTGGGGCCTTAAGGATGTTATTCTGAGAACATTTTTATTTTTATACATACACTAGGCTCACTACTGGATGGTATTTGATTGTTCATGACCTTGGTGATTAATCATCCTTCTATGACTGTTTACTTTTTCACTTACTTGCTGATGGTTTATCCAATCCCCTTGCCTTACTGGTGATGTGGTGAAAAGAGTAGATAGTGAAGGCCCTATAGTAAGGCCCAGATCTCACAGGACAGTTTATGCAAGTTTGCCAGCAATTTATCTCTCCCCACATTGTGTAGCATCTCTTGCAAGTGCATGAAATGATACTTGTAAATACACACATATACACATGCATGTAATGTAGATGGATCAGTACCTATAAGGTTGCAATGGGATACTCAGTTTACTGTGTTACTCCTGAAGATAAGATTAAGAAGATTGCTTTTTATAGTTATCCTTGTTCCCCGAGCTGGAGTATTTCCATTCATAGAAGCTTCCACTATATGCAGTCATTTTTCTTTTGTTTTTCTCCATTCCTGCCATTTCATCCATTCTCTCTTCTTTATAATAACCAGACACCCTTTACACTGCAGCTCAAATCAGCAGTTGTTATATTTACACATAGATTTTTACCATCTTGTCTTTCCTTTAAAGGTGTTGATACAGGATTAACTTTAAGCTGTTAAGCTTGGTTATCAGACAGGCATGAACTACATGCTGCAAGCAGCGTGCTCTTTCACCAGCATTTCTTGCTGCTGGGATGCCCACACTAGTTCTTTCCACACCTTACATGTCTTTTCTAACTCTTCTATCAGATAAAAACATTCCCACGCTCCTTTTAAGCGTGTAGTAGCAACCATGTACAATGCAAATTCTGCTGGTGGTTTGGTTTTTTTTTTCCTTTTCCTACCCCTTTCTTTTGGAGACAAGCTGATATTTCAGCTGGGGCAGGACATCCAGATAATTCAGTTTCCCAACAAACTGGGGAGGTCACCAGGGCCAAACACTGTGTGACTGTTCCCCCTGCCTGCATTTGGGACCAGCCAGGCATCCATTCTGTTTTTTTCTCGCTGCCTTCCTTCCACTAAAGTGGTCTCACCAGGATCCTGGTGACTACTCCAACTGTAACACGCCAGTGCATTTTACCCTCTCTGCTGGAGGCAGCAACCTGCTCCATCCTGCACTCGCTGACAGGCAGCTCTCTGACCACCCTGTTTCCTGGAGGAGAAAGAGTGAGATGTTGGGACTGTCCCAGACCTGTCAGCACATGTGGAGAAAAGCACAGACAGTGTGTTGCTTACGTAAAAGTTTTATTGGAAATTCTTTGAATACTTAAAGTACATTGGAGACTGTTTCCAAAACAATACAATTTAGGAGCCTTCCCCTTCACCCAAAGTATCTGTAAATCAGCAGCTACATACATACTGTCCTTAATATAGAATCGAGCAGACAGCTGCTAAAATAAACAGCCTTCATAACACAATCTGTGGCAGGCCACAGCAGCAGCTAGATCTTTCCTGAAGCAGAGCATTTGTGCAGTGGTCAGGGAACTCGGAGCCTAGATGTAGCAACTACGTGTTGAAACTGAGGAATGTCCAGAAAAGAGGCACATAACTCAGCCCGAGAGAATCTCTTTATTGCTATGGCCATCCAGCTCAACACTAGCAGCTTATATAGGCAAATTGCCAGTCTTTTGAAGTAGAAAAAACGTGCTACACTGACATTCTGCCTTACGAGATGTGGGAACTGTAGCTATGTTAGGAACTGCATCAACAAATGAGCACAAGTATTTGGCTCAGGAGACCTCCTGGACAGGATTAGCAAGAATGGCATGCTTTCTGCCAACTCTGCAGCTTGTCAGTGTGAGAAGAGGACAGCAGTAGCACTGGCTAGATGAAGTTCAACCTAGTCTATTTTACTCCGTGAATCTAGTGTGAACCAGCACTTTACCCCATCCCTGCTGCTTTGCAGCCCAGATAGTATCACTTTCCCAAGTACAGCCTGTAACATTAAGAGAAAGGTGACAGCAACCACCTGCCTGTGAGCTACTTCCTACAAGATGGCAGAGACCAACTTCCTGAGCAGAGGTGAGAGCCAGCTGATCCATTAATTCCTTGTGTTTCTGCACCCTTCTGTGACCCTTTCCACCTGTAAAAGAAGCGGGCTCTGGCTGCGGGGATCAAGTATTTGTTAAAGCCCATGTAACTTAAGCACTCACGTGAGCTGTTTATCTTGGAAGCTTTCTTAAATGTTTGTGCATCTTATTTTGCAAAGACTAAACAATTTCTGTGAGGTTACTGAAAAGCTGAAATGGCTGAGTAAGCTAAAAAGGTTCTGGTGGGTAGCCTTCCTTCAATAAAGCTCTTACCTTGAGTTTTAGAGCTCACATGGCCTCCCACCAAACACATCACTCAACAAAAAAGCTGGTAAAGTACAAAGCATTGTGTTGCTCTGACCTTACAATAAGCTCCATTCTGAACTTAGTCCCTTGCTCTAGCAGTGGCACAGAAATAGTGTTCTAGAGAGGAGGTGGGGTTCCCCCATCAGCTGCTAGCAATCTCTTTCAATTAAGAATGCAGCTAAGTTGAAGAAACTGCCACATTGCACTAATTGGAAGGCTGGTTACTCAGCCACTCTAAGGAAATTAAGATGGTTCCTCAGTACTGAGGCAACACAACCCCGCTTCTGGACAAAGAAAGAAAAAAAGAAGTGGTTTAGGACAGTAAGGGGTCTTGCAGTTGCTCACTCTAGTCTGGGAGGGGGAGAGAGAACCACAAGAAGACCTACCTTATCTAAGTTTCTGTTTAGTGTCACTGTTTCTCCTCCCATCCTTACATCAGGCAAAAGACACACAACAGCCAAATCAACCACAGAGCACTGCCAGCCAGTCACACTTGATAGCCAGATCATTACAAAAATAAAATTTCAGCTAATCAAAAGCCAGCTGATTAAAAAGTACCATAAGCTCCCCAAAAATGTGCTTCTTCTTTAAAGAAGCTGCCTTCTGAATGGCTGAAGAACACTGCAAATTCATCCATGCCTATCAGAATGCAGCTTTTTACCAAGTCCCTGCCACTCCACTACACTGATGTGTGCATTTCATTCCATCAATGGGCCCTGACTGGATGTAATGGACACATAGTCCCCAAAACAGAGTATTATATTAGAATAATCAAGTCTGTCTTAGAAAATAAATATCTTGGATATTTTCCTGCAAAGAGAGACCAGTCTCACTGGCCAGGGTTCCATGGCACACTTGCTGTCTGCAGTGATCCTGGGCAGAATGACCCGCACGACTACGTGAAAACAGAACATCTTTTAAATATAGGTTTCTTTAAAAGCAATAAATATTTCTTGATTCTTAAGATCATCTATTAACCATAAAGCAGGAAGGTTTGCAAGGGTTAGAGGAAAGAATCTTGGACTAAGACTCCTAGTTACATAACCCTAAAGAAATAGGATTCCTAGTATTTACAGTTACATTTCAGAAGCAGAGACTATGAATTCAGCATCATCACAGCTGCTACGTGCAGGCTTGCCAACAGTCAACACTGGTAAACTCAGCATGGCCGAGTGTCAGTACACTCAGGAAGGAAATGTGGAAAGCGCTTCTGTAGTTTCATTCCTGCTTATCAGCCAGCATAATAGAAGGCCTCACACAAAATGACTGTGTAGAGACCCAGTTCCTTAGAAGCAGGAAAACAAAGGTAATTTGTATTACACAGGTCCCAAAGCTGATGTCTCTCCCTGGGCTCCAGGCACTCACACTGAAGTCAGGATGAAACGCCCCGTTCTGCAGAATGGATGTCCTGGACTTAAAACTGTTGAATCTGCTGAACTCACAGACCCTGGAAATGAGCCAAAGCTTTCTATGCTTTAACAGGATCGGAGACTGTAGGAAAAAGTCTGTTAGCAAGAAGCTATACCTAGGGAACTTATACCACAGGACCTTTGGAGGAAGCATATGGCAACATTTCACAAAGCCCCTCCACACAGAACAGAGACTGAGGAGAAATTAAGTTTCATACATTGGAGTTTGACTTCCTGTGTCCCTACTGAAGTCTTAAATTCAAAACCAACTGTGAGCAGGAAAAGCGGTCCAGAACTATGCGGTGGTGTAGTTGAGGAAAATCAGCAGATGAGCTGTATGTATCTGCTATTGAAGAGAGCAATCAAAGAAAGCTCACTTGATGGAAGGAACTAGTCAAAGTGAGACAACAGGCAGAGCAGGGGCGATACAGGTATTTGTTGACCTCATTCTCCAGGGTGCCTTGAGGAGGAAGAACTGCTGCAGCAAAACTGGAAAACAGCTTCACTGCAAGGTTTCTACAAAGGCATCAAACTCTTTGACATTTTTCTCGTGGACTGCCAGCTTCTCTGGTAACGAATCCTGGAAGGGTAAAGAAGGATACAGTTCAGGCCTCATTCACAGCAGATAAAAGGAAGCTTTAAACACACACACTAAGGTAAAAATTCTGTCATGCAACCCCTCTCCACTGCTCTGGGCTCCTCTTCCCACGTGCACAAAACCAGGAGTCCTCTGGCAGCATCCAGCAAGTGACCCTGAGAAGGGCACCCTGCCCAGAGGGTGTTTGTTCTGCAGGAACAGTAGGTGCACTGGGGCCTCGCCTTGTGCAATTCCCACCACCAGCTGCAGCACAATAACCTGCTCTTGTCACCGCTTTCATTGAGTCACTTGCAGCTCTTGGCCTTTGGTGTTCGTTTTTCCCCACAGTATGTTACAACGCCTGCAAGCCCAATACAGCACTTACTTACCCAGACATGACTTTTACCAGCCACTCCAGGATTTTACCTCTGCTCAGGCTGCAAGATCAGGCCTAGTTTGCCACTAAGTCTGACACGCCAGAGGTAGGATTAATTTTGGGGGTTTCAATGACAGCCACAGCGAGCATGCGGCAGCAGCTTTCAGCAGCTCAGGTGTGCCATAAACAACTGCATTTGTCTGGAACATGTTAGTGAGGGACCCCCTTTGGGCAGGGTGTCTCTTCTGAGAAGTACAGGAAAGACATGGACCTGTTGGAGCGGGTCCAGAGGAGGGCCACAAAAATGATCAGAGGGCTGGAACACCTCTCCTGTGAAGACAGGCTGAGAGAGTTGTTCAACCTGGAGAAGAGAAGGCTCGGGGAGACCTTACTGCTGCCTTTCAATACTTAAAAGGGGCTTGTAAGAAAGATGGGGAGACTTTTAGTAGGGCCTGTTGCGATAAGACAAGGGGTGATGGTTTTAAACTAAAAGAGGGTAGATTCAGACTAGATATAAGGAAGAAATTTTTTACAATTAAGGTGGTGAAACACTGGAACAGGCTGCCCAGAGAGCGGAAAGATGCCCCATCCCTGGAAACATTCAAGGTCAGGCTGGACGGGGCTCTGAGCAACCTGATCTAGTTGAAGATGTCCCTGCTCATTGCAGGGGGGTTGGACTAGATCACCTTTAAATGTCCCTTCCAACCCAAACTATTCTATGAGTCTATGAAGATAACGACTTTTTTCAAACTAGGAATGGGGACAGCATTATAAAGTACATATGATTCCCGCAAACAGAAATTTCAGGGTTCCATACCAAATCTTCCGCCATGGACTGCGCTCCAATGTCAATGGAGAGGCTGCTGAGTTGAGGGGGGTTCTGAAACTCACGGTAGAATGTCCCCAGGTCCATTGGAAGAATGTCATCTTTTGAAAATGCTGGTTTCTAGAACCAAAGATGCTGCCGTTAATTCCCATTCAGAAACACTGGCTTCCCTTTTGCCACATTACCTGCTACCAGTAAACATCTTGGCATTACAACTGTTGTAGCAATAATGCAGATTAAATAACTGAAGAACAGCCAAGATGTGCTTGCCTGAGCACTTGGAAAAGAGCATTTCCTTGGAATCTGGCTCTTTTAGGCATTAGAGAGAGGACGCCGAGCCCAGGTGTTGGTAGGGAACTGAAAGAGTATTTAATTTGTAGCTGTTGGTTCCAAGTATCAGTGTCTTTGCAGTTTTGGGACTGTCAAGCTCTAGTTTGGAACCATGGCTCTTTTCCACCCCTACTGAAAACTACTCTTACATCATCTGCCATTGTACCAGCACCTGAAGCCCATTTAAGACGGAGGTGTTACGTGAGAGCACCGATGAGGGCACTTACAAAGTCAATCATAACAAAGTCGTCGTGGGTGTTCCCTGTGCTGCTGCCACTGGAGCCCTCTGAGTGTAAGCTGCCTTGTAGAGGAGATTCAGTTTCTGGGGAGTCAGGAGGATTGACCTGCCCAAGAAATCAAAGATGGTGAGTACTGATCTTATGATCATATCTGTCTGTGTATTTTGACAGTGTGGGGGTAGTTAGGAGGTTGGACAACAACCACATGCTACAGCAGGGGCAGCAAACACATACTGTTATTTGCATGTCTAGAGAGCCCAAGACTCAACACAGGAGACTTCTTGAAACCAAACAAATCTAAATAATAACTAGTTCTTTGCTCAAAAACCAAAGTGTATTCAAGGTAGGGAATAGCACGGATGTTGCATAAGGGATGCTGAGAAGGCACATATTATACCTCTGGAAGAGGCTTACCATGGGGTCGTTATCTTCCAGCTCAACATTCTTGGGAGCAAACATGGCAAAAGGAATGTCTAAGTTGGCCATGGTCACCTGAGGAGATTCAGCAAACAGAATTTCACTAAGATGCTCTGCTTACCCAGCACAGAAAAGGATATTAAAAGTCTTTGTCAGGCCTGCTAAAAATTGCCCCAGATCACGTCAGCAGCTAGGCAGGAGGCTGACAACTTCATTTAAAAGGCATAAAATAGAGAGATTGTACTCAGCTGACCTAATGCAGATACATACCCTGAGGTGGGATTGCTTATATACATCTTGTATAATACAGGCAAGGATTAATGAACCGCTACAAAGTCAAACAATTCTTCATCCATCCAAAAGGCCTAGAAGAGCAGCCCTAGGAACTGGGCAGACCTCTAAGCTGCCCTAGCTGAGCTTAAATGCTTGCTTACCAGTTCATCACTAGTCTACTGCATGTCCCTTCAAGGAAGGGAGGCTTGCTACCAGCTTCCCCAGTTCATGAACCTGTGGTAGTGGCAGATCATTGTGAGACCCAAGTAGAGTATCAAGTCTTCCATACCCAAACAGAGTGTTGGTAAAGTGGGGCAAATTCAGTGGATATTATGAAAGGATTCAAGGATTTTATGAAAAACAAGCCTATGACAAGACTTTGTAGGGAAATGCAGCAGGCAGGAATATGCCCTCTCAGTCTCCAGGGTTGCCCTGGCATTGTGGTGCTTTTTGCTCCTCTGTATAAGGACAGATGGGAGAAGGAGGGTATTATGGTGCCCTCTGAGAAGATCTACTGCTAGTTACCTGGTTAATGGGTTTGTTGACAAAAGCTCCCACCTTCCGGATAAAGATGGTCTCCAAAAGGTCATGTGGGGAGCCACACTTCCCTTCACTGCTGTTTGATACTGTTTCTGTGTCCTCGCTGGGGGAGGAAAATAGACTAATTAGTGACTCACTGCACAAACAATATGGACAAATGACATGCTTCACAAGACTCCTTAATTTTTCTGGGTTTACTCCTGGTATTGGAAGAAGGACAACAGAAATCTCTGTCCTTGTACCACATCTTCCTCAGTCATGAGCACAAAAGGGGAGTGGGATACTTGTGGAATCAGATTTTTGTTTAAAGCTGGACGAAAACTATTTAGTTCAATGAAAAGTTGCTGCCAGCTGAAATACGCTTTTCTTTTGGAGATGGACTTTTAACTTCAGTATGTGCATGTTCACAGCAATTCCTGTTCGTCACTATTATTTTTTCAGTAACACAGTAGTCACAGATCTGTCAGGAGGTGAGGGCAAGAACCAGAATTGTATCTGTCACTCAGGTTACGAAGGCAGCAGTCTAATGCATCATGACAGCCACTGCCAGTATGATTAATTCACTGCATGGCTATTAGTTATTTGTATGACCTGATTTTTTTCCTACCACAGGTATTCAGAAATTTAAAACAAAAAAAAATTATTTGAGTCTTCTGGCAAGAGGCCTACTTAGATAGCATACCCAGGAAAGTGCTAGTGCAACTATGATTTTTTTGTTTCCTCATAGCAAAGTCTCTGCTTAAGATATCTGACTCAGAACTACATGACCCCAAGAGAGACTTCACAAGAAATAAATATGGTGACCAAAAAAAAAAAGGGAAGGATTTAATTAGCTGAGAGAGAGGTGATTTAGGACCATTTGAGCTTGCAGTGTTTCCTTTTAAGTAACTTTGCATCTAAAGTTTCTTAATAAAATAGTGAACAGAGTTGCAGTAACTACAACTGTTTTTGGTAACAATTCACATGAAATCTCTGGAGAAATTAAGACTCGCTTGTGAACTTAACTTCATCTTGTTGTTTTACAGTCAGCAAAAACAGTAGAGAGATTAAAAAAAAGTTAAAATTGATAATAAAGTTATTAAAGTTGAGATAACAGAAGTTGCAAGGATGTTACAGTGACTAGCAAGTGTGAATAGGTGGGCGAGATCATTGTTTAGAGAAAGGCTGAAAAAGCCCCAGAGAAAGCTGCTAGTTGTTTTTGGGGATGGAAAGACAGTAGTTATGCTACAAATAATAGATAAAAAGGTGAAAACAGAAAGTTTTATCTTAACAGGATTATGAATGGGCTAGCGTAAATGGTGAACCATCTAAAACCAACCTACCTACTAGAAGGAGTAGCTGCTGAGTAGTGGACTCCATCCAGTGGGGTGCACATCCTCTCTTGGTCAGCTTGAGTGCCATGTGCAGGCTGGCTAGGAATTGGGGGAACTCCCCCCTCTTTGCCTGGACCAATCAACTGAGATGGAAAGGAACAGTCAAGTTAGAGATCTCAAAATCAGGCCAGCACCACAGTGCAATACAGAGCAGATTCTGTCATACTGGGACTAGCTTGTGGGGTCTTTGGCATGTGACTGGGCTCTAGCCCCCATGAGGCTGAGAGAGGTGTCAAGTAGAAGGTGATCATCACAATACAAACTCTTTTTTATTCTCTTTCTACTCCACTCCTCTCCACTGCAGAGCTCTCTGTCCATAGGTCCTCTGCTTCAAGGAGAGGAGGGAGGGAAAAAAAAGAAAAAATCATATCCTCTTGCTACAGCCTCGTTGCTTTCTACAGCTTCCTGAGGAGGGGACATGGAGAGCGAGGCACTGATCTCTTCTCCCTGGTATGCAGTGACAGGACATGTGGGAACGGTTCAAAGCTGCGCCAGGGGAGGTTTAGATTGGACATTAGGAAGCATTTCTTTACTGAGAGGGTGGTCAAACACTGCAACAGGCTTCCTGGAGAGGTGGTTGATGCCCCAAGCCTGTCAGTGTTTAAGAGACATGTGGACAAAAATTAAAAACATGTTTAACTTTTGGTCAGCCCTGAAGTGGTCAGGCAGTTGGACTAGATGATTGTTGTAGGTCCCTTCCAACTGAAATAAGTTTATTCTATTCTATTCTACCATCATTGTGTCAGCAAAACTCTGATGTAGCAGCACTATCACAGGCAGAAAAAAAACTTCTGTCAACTTATTGTCTGATGAACAGATGCAAATATGCCAATAAAGACTGTCAGTATACCCTATGTCTAGGTTACAGTGCTGTGCTTGGACAGCTACAGGAGCAGCAGCTCTGTAAGAAGCTGAAGTTTGGAATCGGTGACATGCTGGTGCAGGCAAACAGGTCTGCTGCCTGCTCTTTTGGCATAGTTTTTCCACATGACCCCTACCCCAGTGAAGTCAGGGATGCTGAGGAGCCAGCTCTTGTGCAAGTTGTGCTTTCTCTATATTTACCTTACATTCTTTTCATTCCTGACAGGATACCAAAGCATGCACTATTTTCAAAGCCTCTCTCAGATGTACAACTGACACAAATGGTTGCAATACCAGCCATGGTTGTTCTACCCTCTACAAGTACCTGGTGAGGGTGTGCAGCATTCAAGCCACCAGCAAAGAGTACAGGAAACCCCATGTCAGCTGATCCAACTCCCAGGGCAGCAGGCTGATAGGAAAGACGAGAGCTGGAAAGCTAAGAAAGAAGAGAAAAAACAAGGGCAAAGGGAGAGGAGAGAGGAAGGGGAAGGGAAATGCCCCCCAGTCTGAATAATCATCAGTCACTGAAGAAGGAACAGGAAAAGTTGGAGGCACAGCACAGCATTTCAGGCTGGCAGAAGGATGCTAGATTTTCATTGCAATCAATAATGAAGGTTATTACTCTAAAAAGTTCTTATTGCAGGGGACTAAGTCTGAGCCTTGACAAGAAAACAAGACTGGTTTCCTACACACATAGGAGGAGGTTGTGCAAGGTATGACTGACATCCAGTCACAGGGAAGCTCTGCTCTACAGGCCTGTTTCGCATACTGGAAAAAGCATGAATGCCATCATCGACTTACTAAAGAGCTAATATTTAACATTTTTTTCCCCAAAGCAACTGCATTATCAACTGTTTGAACCCATTCCCATTGCACATTAAAATAGCTGATCTTCAAGGCCTGTTCAGATAGCTTCAGCCAAAGAATACAGAGTCCCATAAATGTGCTACGTAAAGAGAATTGGGAAGCTAACCCTTGTGAAATTGCCTTAGGAATGAAGTGCTGGAAGCAGTGAAACCCCAGGTAGAAATCTAGCTGGTCAGATTAAATAAAACTTTCCTGTTTTAGCTTGCTTAACCTCAAGAGGAACACTTCTTTCAGAGCTCTCTGTGTGATACTCCAGCAGCGCCAATGCTCATATCATTTACAGGGGTGTGAATGATGAACAGCACTTTTATTCACATGAGGCTGAATGGAACACTAATGACTGTGCACGTTGTAAGGACACTGGCTGTTAAGAGAAAACACTCAGTGCTGTGCCTTAGTACTTCTCTTTCACTAAAAATCCTTGCAACAGCTGTTGTTTATTTCAGGGTGTTTGTCCTGTCTTTGGGAGACCTTCATCTGCAAAGGCATTTAAGCAGCCAGTCTCAATAATGTGCCTGGCCCATTTTGGGTTCACCAGCCTTTCCCATGCACAACCAACATTCCACACTGTCAAATTTCTACTTTCCTGTATATGTTCTGTCATACCAGAACTACATCTGGCCATGTGTAGCATATTCTACTGACAACTCACTTGATGTGAAAAGGCCAGTCCCATCACTGGGACCTTCAAGGTGTCCGTCACCACAGGAGGAGGGGTCTGAAAATGTGCCTTTGTGACAGTAAAAACACACTGTGCACAGACACAGACACACAGAGGAAACAAGGAAAAGAGACAGAGTGAGAGAGGGGAAGAGAGAAAGAGAGAGAGAAGGACTTCAGAGAAGAACTATGAAGAGTTGGATGAACTGAATGCTAGTGAAGAGGTTTTGGCTGCAGCAGCCACACCTACGCATAGAGCAGAAGTCTTCAGTATTGCCAGAAGCACATTCATTTTGTAAAGAATTGACTGTTTTCCAATCTCAGTGAACCACTCAGGTAATATTTTAGAGTCCAGTGAACACTGACAGAAAGTAACTGCCAGAGACTGTTCCACAGCTAATTAGAATTGGTACCAGCCAATTAGCAAGGAGAAGGCTGAGCAGATGCCAGAAAAAGCCAAGAGTAATTTTTTTTTTTTTTTGAATGTACAGATTGCATGTATTTCAATACTCCCCATCCATAGAAACTCCTAATCTTTCAGCATTCTGAGGGATCATATCTTGGCAGGTCTGTGCTGCACCCTTAGAATAAAGGGGACCCAGGCTAAGGTGCAGTTCAAACACACTGATGTGAAGAGAGAACTCTGTCAACAGGAGTGACAGTCCAGAAGTAAACGCTGTCTCACAGAGGGTACTAATGCAAAAAGGGCAATCCAAACCTGGTTCAGTCCCATACCGTCTCCCAGTCATTTTCCTACCAACAGTTTTCACTTTTAGGAAAGCTTCATTCCTGGGTATTACCCATGGCCAGACTTTTTCCTGAATTTTGAGCTACTCCACAACACACACAGACATGCTATGCAAGTTTACAGGGTGAAGGTAACGCCTATTCCCTTGTATCATGCAGGTTAGGCCTCATTTCTACTGGGAAGGCAGGCAGAGATTTGGACAATTTGCCTACAGAACCACACAGTTCCCAATATTTTCCTACACATTAAGTTGTATATAGAAAGCTGGAGAAAGAAATTAACTTTTTTTTCCCTTCTAATTTACTTTAGATACCACTCTGCCAAGACAGCCTTAGAATTCTAACTGTGGTAACAAAGACTGGCAGTTGCTTTATAAATAAGCACTCAGCATATGGCAACTATGAGCCACAGGAAAAGCAAGAATGTAGGCTCATACTTAATGTGAATCCTTGAGGTTCATCTGGTTTCATAAAGCTTTTCCCCTCAATGACAGCAAAGCTTCATGTCCCCTGGGGAAATGTCAGCTTCAATGTATTTACATACACTATTACTGTTAAGGAACACTGGCACAAGCAAACCAGTGGAAATTTCCTTATGAAACCTTTTGCATTTAACCCATTTTGTGAAAAGGCAGGACACAACTTGGCCACAAACTCACCTCCTGAGCTGTATATTGCAGAGTAAGAAAAGCTTTATTCCATCAGACTTACCGTGAGTGCTGGCTGATTAGTTCAATATTGCCTGACGTCCTGTCACCCAAAATCCACTTGGCACAAAAATGCTTCGTAAGAAAAGCTCATTTCTATCTCATTCATACAGAATACATTCTGCTAAACCAGTCATACTAGTTCCTCTGAAGCAGTGGAAAGACCCGTAGCAAATTCTTTCAGTTTGGAACAGCATTCCAATTATACTTCATTCTATGTTTCACATCGACGGCAAAAGAGATTAAGAGTCTTTATATTGCCTTTAAAGATCAAAGCCATCTGCTTGGCTGGACAATAAGGCAGGACATTCCTGAATATTTAAAGCTATAGGACAACTGGAAATCTGGCCAAGTTTTCAAAATACAGAATTGTGGAGTCAGGTATCTTAAGGACAGTAAAAGAAGGAGGAATTGGAGTTTCTGGTTTTTGATATCCAGAAGGAAACCATTATCTCTTTATCTTAAAATTGAAACTTTTCATGGGTAGGTGGAAGTACAGAGTATTAAGTTGCTAGTTCAATACTATGACCCAATTTGTTTGCTGATACTTCTTCCTGCTGCCCCAACTAGTTTTAGATCGTCCAACAAATACAGCTTTTGGCTTTTTCCTGCTTTTCCATTCTGCAATGTAGAAAATATGACTGTGCTGTAAGCATTTTCCTGATATTTCAGTGTTTCTTTCTCAATGTCAGTCTGTTCCCACTACTTGGGCTGCCTGGCATCAACCTCTTGAATTCATCTTCTTGCAGTATCAGTATGTGAATGTATAAGTACACTGCTATCCTCTGCAAGCACATCTCAGCCCAGCTACAGCAGTAGGTTCTTTTAATCTTTCTCAGTAATTCAGTCTTTCTAGTGCCCTAGCATTTTGTTGAAATTAGTATCTAACTAGGTTTTACTCAAGAGTGTAACAATATAAATAACCCACACATTAAATTTTAATTAGCAGCAGGAGGCTGCCAGTTTGCACAGTAGTTGATGTAGGAGTATGTGCACTTCCCTAACAGTGATTGTTCTATCTAAGAGTAAAAAGAGCCTCGTTTCTCTTACCTGAGATGGAGGAGAGGTGGAAAAAGATGTGGTACACACTTCTTGGGAATCTTCTACTGAGGGGTATACTGCACCATTGTCCTCACCAGCTCTGAAGCAGCAAGAAAAGAAAAGCTTTCTAACTGGAAATATTCCTTAAAACAAACAAATAGTAAAACACACTGGGACAAACACTGCAGGGAGGTTGAGAGTATTTGGGTGGATTTGAAAGGAGAATTATGAAGGGCTCTCATCTACTTGGCAGAACTGAGGAAAACAAGGTATGAAAACTTTAATTTTCTCCAGGCACTCCTCTTCTATCCCCACATAGAAACACTTCCCTCCTCTGTTATTTTTAACTAAAGGTTTTGTTATACCAGCTAATGCTACTGGCTTCAGTGCTTACAGAACCATTGTCAAACAATACCACTGGTCCCAATCTGAGCGTCCTCACATGCATTTTAGAGAAGACAAACCTCCCATCTACAAAGAGAAATTAAACTCTGATCTTTCCCCAGTGGAAATATCTGGAGATACATGTCTCTGGACACATAGTTCTACAGCAGGATTAACTGTTACACTTTCAAATTCCCAAAGACAGCCAAGATTAAGATGTTTGTGTCCAAGTGCTTCTGTAAGGAATTTGGGAAAATACTGGGGCTTGCTGCACTCAGTCTTCTAGATGTGTGGAGAAAAACGTCACCCTTCCTCATATGCTCAACCATGTCAATATGATTGACACTAATCCTCCAGTCTCCCTTCCCATGCAGTCAGCAAGTAGTGGAAAAGGCTCTGTATTTGGGCATAATTGATGCCTTCACCATGGCCCATGACTTCAACTCAGTATTTCCTCACCTGTAATTGCAGGGATGCATGGGTGAAGAGCTGGGATAAGGACGGTCCACAAAGTGATCAATGATAATCCCCATGATAGGAGGGGTCCTCTCAAGCTGCCTGCAAGGCAACAAGCAATGCTGTTATTGGCTTCCTCTCTCTACTCTCATCCCAATTCATGGTGCCCTCACAGAAAACCCTTGTGCCTATTGATGGGACCAGGGCATCTTTACAATTCAGCCCTGCAACTCCAAGCATGCTTCAATGATTTGTTGTTCTAGAGTCTGGCTCAGGGCTACCCAAATACTCGCCTTGCTGCAAGACTTAATCATGAGAGAGAGTATTCTCCATGAAGGAGAATCTCGGCAGGAAAGGATAAGCATAAGGGGAAGATTTAGGGGCTCATAATATGAGGGGTTTAATAGTATATTATTGTAAAACAGTTTCTGGCATGATCACATTTTCTCACCTGGTTGACATGAAAGCGAGGTTGATTCTGTAGGCACAAGACAAAGTGATGGTGCCCACTGGGGTACCCACAGTCCCAACACGGACTGTCTGGAAACCTGTAAGGTTAAGGAATGATTATCAGTTTCACTGATTATTTATGTTCCATACTTTTCTACTCTGAAGTTACATTATCTTATTTCTATAGTGTTTTTGTTATCCCTTGCAATCTGAACTCCAAAGACACATATAGAACCCATAACAAAACAGCAGCACTAGGTTGCCTTGCTGGTAGGCTTCATCTACAAGACTTCTGAGGTCACTTCCTATCCTGGTCTAAAATATTGCTCTGAAGTGCTTCTTGTTCCCGAGTAAATCATGATCTCCTTTACCTGTCCTGCCCCTTATCAACAGACTTCAGTTATTTCAGTTACGGATCACTGGAGTCAAAATGGCAATCACCCTAGATTTTGTCAAAGTACCACCATTATACCTGTCACCTTATGACACAACCTTTCACCGGTAGATCCAGATAAAAAGCATATGTAAACCTCAGACTTAATTTTCCTTATGGCACTTAAGAATAGTAATAAATGGCTAGCAAGTATGGAAAACATTTCTGCTCTAGTTTGTGTGTGTTGCCTAATCATACCTTCTCCCAAGCCACTCAGTTGGACTTCACCAAAATATATCCTGCAGGAAAAGGAAAAAGAAAAGGTGTTAGGTCCACTGGGGACATAATGCTATACATATCCTTATTCCTTATTTAATTTTATGAGTTGAAAGGCTGGAACTACTTTTGCTCTTTAGAAAAAAAACACAAAAGAAGTGGCTAGAATGCCCATCTCAAAAAACCTTCCAGCTACTTCAGAGGAAGACATGTCATGTGACAAGAAAAAGGAAGAGAAAACGGTAATCTAATCAGAAATTTCTCTTTTAAGTTTTTTAAGCCTCAACTGGATGCTAATAAGCAATTCAACCAGTGCTTGCATGTAGAATTTTTTACTCTTCTCAGCATGGTAGGCAAACAACAATACTTCACAGCCTGTGCTTTATTTTTCTTTCGATGGCTCAGATGGAGGCTATAAAGTGATATACAGCCCAAAGTTCTTTTCTGTCACTGATCAGTAGTAGTTAAATCCAAATAATTTGAATTTATTATCACTCATCCCTTTTTACCACATTTGCAGCTGCACTGTGCAAGTCTAGAGTCTCTGCTATTTGTATTTCAAATCAGGAATTTCATATTCTGCTTTACCTGTACAATATTACATATTCATGGCCTTGTTTCCTTGAGAGTCTGTAGGCTGGAGTTACCCTGGTTATAGCAAGCAAAGACTTCAGCAGTAGAGACAGCCTGTTGTATACGGTGTATGAAACTTTGATTTCTTTGTCACACCTATAGAACACAAAGGAAAAAATTAGTCTTTTGTTCCCAACTAAGTTGTTTGCTTGTTGGGTTTTTTTTTGTTTGCTTGTTTTTTTTAAATCAAAATTAGTCTGTGCCAATTGTTTAATGTTGGTTTTATTGCCAAAATGATAAAATAAAGCCCCAGTGTGGCTACCTGTTACTGACCAACCAGCTAAGAGTCCTACTTAAATCTAGACACCTGTTGTAGAAGTAATTGTTGAAAAATGCCATGCAGCCTTCTACTAGAGAGAAACATCTTTTCACTATTAAAAACATTTGTCATTACTGAGTATATGAATTCTTGTATCTGAGGAAGCATACTAGTTGTAATGGAAGAATGAAGAAGTAATAAAATCACTAGTTTATTTTCTTGACACCAATATTAAACAGTTTGCTGCAGTAGACAAAGAGGGGATTTCCCTCTGAAGTGACCCAGGCCACACAGCCAGTATGTGCTCAGTCATCACCATGGACTGAGCAGGCTTCCCCATTTCATCAGCTAAAACAAACGCACACACACAAAGTGTGAAGAATGCACTTACTTTTCATTCATTTCTAGACACCAAATTTCCAGCTCCATGGAGTCCCCCTGGATCAGAGAAAGGATGGCAAACAAAGGCTCAATTCAGAACGCAAACCTTTTCACGTCTCATTAGTGATCATCAACAGCCACACTTCTCAATTAAGATGTTTCTCCTGGCTCCCACTTTCTTGTAATGCAATAATAGAAAAAGGTGCGCTGGAAGTCTCACTGCACAATTAGATCACCTGAGGGAATACCTTCCTCAGAATGTCTAAGCCTATCATGGTCTAAGAAACTTAATTTTGCTGCTCTATCATTAGTGTGTTTGGCCTCAGATATTTGCAGTAAATTGCTTCTGTTAAACAGTACATTTCTTTTCCTTAGCATACTATCTAACTTCATAAATGAAGATATTTTCACATTGTCTTGGACTAAAGGGCAGGAGCTCTGGTAGGTGACTTAAGATTCAGGTAAAACAAAAATGGCATCTCTTTTGACTCAATTCTTACCTCTGAGGTTTTGAGAGAAATCTCCACGCACATAGACCGTCCAACAGCAGGCAGTTGTCCTGCCAGGGCTTTCTTTGCTTCATGAGTAACCTCTGGTATATCCTTGATTGCCAAATTGAACTGCAGAATGAAAGGGATTATTCAATTTTTTTATTTCTTTGAAAAACTGCCTAATGGTACACTGTAGACAGACTCATACACCCATACATAACATACTAGGTCAGTGTCCACTGAAATATTTATGAAACAGAAAATTCCCAGATGGGCTTAAGCTTTTCATATTTGCAAATATTTCCTTGGCTGCTAATTCAAATGTTTTTCTTCATCCTGCCATAAAAATCATGTTCCTTTTCACTCACTTGAGTCCTGTCTTCACCCACAGAGTATCCTGAGTCTCTTCAATTTTAATAAAGCCCATTACTACAAAGTCCTGAATTGCAGAGTTGCAAACTTCTGACAAAAAAAGAACTCACGACCCCACCCCCAGCAGATTTTGGAAATGCGCCTTAGCTGGCAGGAGTGCTGAAACGTATCATTTATCTCTCCTCTATCAGCCCTTAAGAGCCCAGAGTGACATGCTGCATGTAAACAACAACAAAACCCCCCCCCCACCACCAATGAACGTAACTGAACATAGTAGTTATTCTGTGAATAGTTATGATAGTCTGCACAAGACTATAACAACTACCTTGCATTCTCAACACACACACACGTGCGTGCATGCGCACACACACAAACCCCAACAGTTATGGAGTTGCTTTAAAAAACATGACTTTACCCAGTCAGAGCCAGTTGGGGAGGATGATGATCGGGTACAGATTTTCTCTCCAAGTCGGGCCTGGACAATTACTTGTACCGTCTGGAATAGAAAGGAAAAGATACACGCTCATGTTTTGAGCTCAGCAGAGCCCTCAGTTCAGAACCTGAGCTAGACAAATTCCAAGTCAAAAAAAAAAAAAAAGAAAGGGCTGACCAGACATAGAGGAGTTTGCTATGCTAATCTTCAGGTCTAATAAATTTAAATTATTACATATAATACATAAATGCATTTCAGACAGAAAATAATTTTAAGCTGACCTTTCTCTGTAATAACATGAAGTGACTAAGTCAATTTTGCAATCACGAGTTGCACAGTTTTGGTAATACTGAAACAAAATTTACAACTATATCCTGAACCTGGAAATCTAAAGGAAAGTCGGGTTAATCTGTACATTTATAACATAGCTATTGTCAGAGTATCTACTTGCATCTATGTACCCAGTGAGGTCAAATTTTATACTTACGTATCAACATAATTCAAAAGAACATTCTGGTACTATTGCTTTTGGATGCAATATAAAAATTTAGATAGGCTGAAAAGAAAGAGTCCAACAGAAGGTGCTACCTAACAGCTGGATGGTTAGATGTGTTGATAGGAGCCCAAAGCTGACAGAGGTGTGAAGTGCCTATAACTGATTCTACAGCAGGACAATGCTGGGGGAAGGAAGAGGATTTGAAGGTAGAAAAAAGGGGAAAATATGTTTTTCTAGTTATTCTCAGAAATCTCCTAAATTTGACATCAGCTTTTCTTGCTTTGGTCTCTAGCAAAAACAAAAAAAAACCCACCCCCAAACCCCAACCTTGTTATTCTAGCCACAGCAGGTAAGGCTTTTCTTAAACAAGAAAGAAGAAGCATTTGCCCACAGGAGAAAAAGTTACCTTTAAAGCAAAAAATTTGATGAACTTGTCCAGGTCCTTCCTGTCTTGGGAACTGAGATCAGTGTCCATTGCATATGGCAATCTGAAATATAGCACAGGCATGGGAACGAAGTCTTCCTTCAGCTTTCTGTTTGCATTTCAAGATTTTGAAATATTTTGCCATCAGAGGCTACCTCAAAAGAAATTATAAGCACCAAAGGCCTCTGCCTGTCAAAATCCTAACATGCTAAGAACTTTGCAGGGTGGGTGCAACGTATAAACACGCATGAATAGTTTATCTGGTCAGTGCAAAAGACACTAGCAAAGAAACAACAAAGGGGGCTCACAATTAAAACTGGGTACAAGTTCTCCAATTTTGCTAGCTTAATTAAGAAAAAAAAACAAACCCAAAACCTAAACCCAAAACACCCCAACACCACACTGACTGGATTCTATACCAAGCTATTAATCAGACATGGCAGTCTCTGCTTCAGAAAGAATCTATCTTCAGTTATCAGCACTGGTCAAAACCAAGCCAAATTGTTTTCTGAAGTCTGAAATTCTAAAAACAGTATTCCAGTGGTATTTCAGCAGATACTGACATCTATATAATATACGATTGCTGGAACGGGCTACGCTGCTTCTTTACTTCCAACAAATAGTACCTGCAGTAAACCTGTGCAGCTACAAATTTACCTACAACCAACTGAGAAGATAAATTTTTGCCAAGGGGTAGACCAAAATTCTCTGTTCGCTTCTCTGGAAAGCTCTGACAACAAATACTTAGCTCCCACATTCACCCTGCCTTGTTTTTTCAAAATACCGATTGTTTCTAGCAATACAATGAACTTGCACAGTGTGTGAAGTGAGGCAGGCCAAGGCACTAATCAGATTTCTGTCACCATCACGCCACACAGCCTGGGATAAATCACAATTTTTCTGTCTCTCAGTTTCTTCACGTGTAAGTTAATAATCGTACAGAGGCCATGGGGACAAATGCCTTAATTAGCAGCATTAACTGTACTTTTTGCTCATAAGCCTTCAAAGTATTAAATCACTTTTAATTCCTGTTGCTGTTTTTGTTTTGAGACAGCTAATCAGCCTGAAGCAGCTTGTCAAACATCACGTATTTATGGAACGCACTGCTCATCACAGAAACGTTGGCGGTCTAAGGTCAGTAAGCATGAGCAGCTGCCATGCACAAGGTTACTCTACTCAGGATTCAATCTTTAAGCAAAGACTGAACTTGCAGCAAGGTACGCTATTTATACAAATTAAAGCTCAGCAGGGCAAAGGGGGTAATAGCCCTGTTCACACAGAAAATATCATATAATCTTTAATGACTACACACAGCCAGAACTTCTATTTAAAATATCTCACTTAATAGCAGTAAATGCCTATTTTAAGTAATGCTCTAGGAGCACCATCCAAGAAGGGCTGCTAGATAAGGGTACTGCAATTTATAGAGCATTTTATAGAGAAGAGTGCTGCTTTCTGAATGACTCGATAAAAAGAAAGCTTGACATCTAATATAGGTGAAAGTTTCTAGGCTACATTCATACTGCATCTCCTAGCACTGCACTGTTCTCATTACAAATTATAACTTAAATTGAGAAGTCACAACACAAGTGAATCAACATTAGATGCATTATCAAATTATCCTTTGGATATTTTACCGTCCTCATCAAAAGTATTATACTTTCTTTCCCTGCCTTTACCTCCACTAGACAAGAGATTACAGATCTTTTCTACTGGGGCAGGGTGGAGGATACAAAAGGAAGTCAGCACTTAAAAGCGCTAGATGGTTAATTGATGCAGCACTGTAACTTAAAAAAAAAAATAAGTTTTTAGTATAGACACTTCCCACTACAAAAAAATAGGCGAGAATGACCTGTTATTATTCTTTTGACTTATCTAAGTAAAGCACTGTAAGAGTTGAGGGGACCCAAGATCTACAACAAAACCTGGATGATATGGGGAATAAAACACTGCATTAAAAAAATGCAAAAAGAATGCTGATATTTAAATACCAAGAGAAATCAAATTAGCTTTTAATGGGAAAAGAAGCAAGAGGGCATTTCTATGCGACCCCTAGAGAAAGGTGCAAGGAAGTACATATCCTGATGTTGTAGAAGAGCTGTCAAATAAAGTACCTACATTTGCCTTATGGGGCTGGGAAAGAATTCTGGTTATTGACTATTGCAAGACATTCGGGAACTAATGGAAGGTGTTAGGCTCACTGGTCTGTTAGGAAACGTAACAAAGCAGATCATCAGCATGGTTCTCTGCGCAGTATAGGAATTAGTTCTAATGACTATATACCCAAATGTCTCTAGAAAGAAGAGAAACAGCTACCAGAGCCATGTCTTAGATTCAGGGTTCATGGTTCTGCCCTGCTGCAACAGAAATGGTATTCTTCCTGCAAGATCTCAAACTATCTGTAACATTCATGAAACATTTGGAGATTCATACTCTTACCTCTCAAGCTCCAAATGCCAGCAACAGTTGACTCACCAGAGCCTAAAGTAGAGCAGAAAGTGTCAGGCAAGGTTTCCTGTCAGGCATCTGTAATTTCAGGGGAAAACTGGGACCTTGGAACTCAGCTCCTGACATGTCTAAGGGCTGTCATCTGATGACCACCATCTCCTAAGTTTTGCAGGAGGACCTCTGGTGATTACCTGAGATCTGCTAAGGCTTAGGACAGTGTTCACCTTTAGAATCATTCTTGCTAAGAGTCAAGACAGGCCTAGAATTACAGCAAACATTTTATTTACAAAAATGCCTCGGTACCCTCAGGTTAGCTGCCACCAGCTGACCTGAACAGGAAGGAAATGCCTTAAACTTAGTTCCACCAAACTTATTCAACTTCTGGGGTCCTGTAGGCTGCAACGCCAGCACGGCTCCTTGTTAAGTGCCAGTATCCAGGCATATGCTTAGCTCAAGGAAAACGCTGTCTAATTTTACACTGAATAACAACTAGAAGGAAATAACCTTTGGTCTAGGTTAGAAACCCACAGATGACCGATTCCCCCTCAAGTAATCCCTTAAGTAAACTGATACCTCACTGCTTTATCCTTACACATAGGCTGTTCACAGCTAAAAACAAGCATTTTGGCCACACGACTTTTTGCTTTGTCTCCCTCTTCCTGCAACATCCATTTTCATACTACTGCCTTTTTTTGTCTGCTTTTGTCTCCACTTTGCTTTAAACAGAAACGTCAGAGACAGATGTTCAGAGGAGAACTGCCACGTGTGGCTCTTTTGACTAAAGCCTTATTTTTTCTCACAAGGTTATGAGGCAGAGAAGAATACTAGGCTTATCCAACAGTTTAACATCTAAGCATTGTGCCTTATACACGCTACTGGTATTTATACTCTCCTTCTCCAAGAAGGACAAATCAGCGTAAGCTGATGGCAGGCACCCTGTTTGCATGATGCAATGAACTGCAAGAGCCCTCCCCTTCGTGCCTTGGTAAAGCCCAGAGAAACTACAGCTACCAGCCTGCCATGCTCCAGTCTGACAGCAGCAGCCCCGCTGCCTGCAGAGACCTATAACCCGGGCACACAACAGGTGCACAGTAACACTTGTGAATACTTGCATTACAGTATGTGTTTCCTACGTGGGAATTTAGCGTATAGGTCTGCTTGACACTCACGTACATAAATGGGGGAGGACCAGAAGCACCTGACGCACACCAGGCATTATTATGGCTGCTGGGGAAAGTATATACAGGCTGCTTCCATCACCTCCCTCCTCTGCGATTTCACTTTGAGCCATGGCTGCTACAACTTAAAAGTCATCCGGCTTTCCTTTCAAACAGATATTTACCGATGCAGAGTAATTACTCATGGTTCCTATCCCAGAGTGATATTAAAAAGACCAGAGGGAAGAAACAAGAAGGGCAGTTGCTGTAAGGAGAGGGCTGTGGACAGCTCTCATCCCAGCTGTACGTTCCCAGTTACCTGACTGGGCCCCCCAGACCGGGCTCCTTGTCCCTACCACTCTTCCAAAACTTCTTTGTTAATAGAGCACCCAAATTCAATCTCTGAGAACATCCTACATGAAGCTCCAGAAAAGCCTCGTTGAATCATGCAGGTAAACAAGAAGCACATGGAAGTTTTTTAAGCGTTTAACAGAGTGCCTTTGATAAATGGCCTTGACTGCCAAGAAATCTTTCCTAGAACATCCTCTTCAATGACGAAGAAGCTTCACTGCAAGCAGGTATTTTGAGTGCATTAATAAGCAACTATAAAAAGATCTCCATAAAGACAGCACTCCGTTTCAAGGCTGGGCCTACAAGTCAAACTCCTGTATCCTACAATTACTTAAAATGAACCTCCATTTTGCCTTCTTAGTAGGTTAGTCAGAAACCTGGAGAGAGCGTGAGGGAGAGAACAGTTCTAAATTTTAAGGTGCACCACTCTCATTCTTTAAAGTTTATGGATCTTTTTCAGGGAAGACTAGAGTAGATTCTAGCAGAAAAACTGTTTCACATAATATGTTGATAAAATCAAAGGCTCTATAGTAGTTCACTATATGATTAAGTTTTGACTGATAAAGAGGCAATTTTTCCTGCTGATCAGGAAATAGATTTATTTCATAACTGATAAATGACTTCCCAGTTTAGGAAATATCTTACTAAAGCCAGCACTCCACCAGCTTAAAAAACAAAATTAAGTAATTCCTGTTGACCGGCAGTTACATTCTGTACTTCCCTAAGGTCTAAATATGGTGTCAGTCCAAAAGTCCATCCTCTCATTTTGTTTGTCAGGCCAAAGTATACAGACTAAACCAGAACCTGCTTCTACATACCCTGTACTACAACCACCAATATAATCACCAGGTCTCAACTTTTGTGCGAATACATGTTCAGAAAAGTCGGGATTACACAATACCATTTAAGCAAAATAAGGTGATCCTGTATGATCCTTCCGGACACCTAAATACAGCCTGGCTCATCTGAATGACTGACTTCTTGCCACAAGAAGGAGGGTTCCACCAGGTCAGGCCACTCCTGCAATAATTTGGAGATGCTCTACACTTCATTTGCATAGCCAGCTAATTTTCAGCTAAGGCAGTAATTTACCATGTTTTTCCCCCTTACAATGTGCCTAGTCACACCACTTTTGAGGTTTGCAAGTAGGCAGTTCGTAGGCTTAGTCCAAAGTGACCCTTTCCTACCTGTTCACTGACACGGAAGGCGTCTCTGCTCCCACCAAATCGATGGGAATGACTCTGGCGGTGCCCCAAGAGCCGCAGCTCGCCCTAACAGCAAAGAAAGATGCGATGATTTGCAAACCCCTGACCTCTCCTAACAGACAGCAAACTCACGTTACAGGAAAACTATACAGGGGACCACGGGGTCTGAAATTCTACCATTTCGAACAGCCTCTGAAGCACTTTGATTTTAGGAGACACCACTTGGAGAGGTTTCGGTGGGCCGCATCCTTCCCAGCCTCCGCTGACGGTCCCCAGCCGCTGGGAAAACGAAGCCCAGCCGACACGGCTCGCAGCAAACCCTGACTTCAGCGAGCAGCGAAGCGAAAGTAAAACGCGGCCAAAGGCTTAAGCCCCGCGGCCCGATCCCCTCGCCTCGAAGAACCTCCCGG